CCTCTACAGAGACTTAAACGGTGGGCGGCTAATCAGCGAAGGGTTTGACAACGGTGAGTAACTTGACGTGATAAAATATCGAAAAAAAAATTAATAGCGGATTCTGTAGAATGTAAATTCTCCACTAAATGTATATGTCGAAGTTTTTCCAGCCACTAAATCTCATATGCTGTCGATTGTCCGATCTGGCTTCCCCACAATGCGGAAATCCCCGACAACTGTTTTGATAGCAGAGGTAACCTACAAACCACTGGAAACAAGAAGAAAACTTTCGAGTTTACTTCTCATAGTTTGACATCTTTTGTCGCGCATACAACCGCAAAGTAAATAGCGTGACAAATTCCTTAAGTCGGTCAGCAGTAGCACTTGGGGATTGACAGGTTAAAAAAATAGAAGCTAGTCAGCCTAAAATCTTCAGGTAATACATATCCTGAAGAGGCCGCTAAACTGTTCCTTGTTACTGAAAATTGGTTGGAGTGGCACTGATGGAACACCCCCCATATTTTTTATTCGAGAAGGAGGAGAAGGTTTGCTCGCTCAAACGAACTTTCCATAATTTTAAAGAATACATAAAAAACTACAGGACTTCTCTTTTAACTCGCAACTTTATAGGCTATCTAGCTAATCGAAACAACGAAAATGAGAATCTTATAAGGCTGTCAATTAACCGTGAAACATTTTATATGTGTTATCTCGCCATCTTGTCATCCCTTGCCGTGCGTCCTACTGCAGGCTACAAAGCGGGAAACCTTAGCGGCGGCAGTCTTGGCCATTACTAGCAAGCCAAACTTACCTTTTGCAAATGGGCTTAGCTAGAACGGTTTGATATTCACGAATTAACAAAATATCCAAACTAATGATTCATTCTGAGAGGGAAAATTTACTTGCTGAGAGAGGCCAGGAAAATGCAGAAATATCTGTGCATGCATATTTGTATGTATTTGTTTGCTCCTAGACGCAAAATATTACGCGGCGAACTAAAGCGGAAGCGAATGCGAGGAGATTCCCGATGTAACGAAATATCCCACCAACTGAATCCGTACCAAATGCCAACAAATGAGTAAATGTGATACAATTGTGCAAATGAATGTCATTATTATGCAATAAACCATACTCGCGCCTACGCTGAGACAGTACAAAAAAATAATTGAAAACAGCAGGCAGCACTCTGCATGCCACCATCTCATTTTTGCAATTAAGCACACAAACTCGGAAAACAAACACATAAATACATAAAAGAGTTTAAATACAATGCATACAAATAAATGAAATTGCAACGCGGCGCCCATAAGTATGCTACACTTACTCACACTTACTCACAAGCGCCTACCCAACGCCGAAAAGTTTCAAGTGGAGTGCCAGTTAAAGTGAATAAATGAGCGGTTGTTTGCGCGGGTGTGTGTGTGTGTGTGTGTGTGTGAAGCGCGTTGCATTGCCGTTAGTTCGCGTCTGTTGGCTTGCCAATGATGGCTGCCGCAATTATTCTTAATTTCCGCATATGAAAAATGATCTCGTTAACAATTGTATGGCTGCATAAAAACTCTCACAAACACACACACACACATACACGGTGCGTTCAAATGTATGCTTGCAACTGTGTGCATTGTCGCCTAAAAGTCTGCTTTGGGGTGTGTTTTAAAATAATGAGTGCGCGCGTTGCCATGAAACTGCGAAGTTGTAGGATGCAGTGCACTGATACGGCAATAAGCCGAAGAAGATACAGTTGGTGATTGTTGTTGTTGTTGTTTGTATGAGTGTATGTTTGATTGCACGACTGCTTCTTGATGGAAAATGTGCAAGTTTCGCGCAACAGAAATTAATTTGAAATTGATATTACAGTTGATGTTGGTTTATTGCAACGGCAGCAGCAACAGTGACAGCAACATTGCAACAGCACCAGTAGGTACTGCAAATACATAAGTGAAGATATGTATGAAGTTTTTCTTTACTTCAGATACACTCAAAGTTTCATTGTCGCTGCCAACTCGCAACGCCGTCTGTCCGTAATATTTCATCGCCTTGGCATCGCCGAGACACACACACTCCGGCAAGAAGAATGCATTATCGAGTAGGCTGTTAGTGTCACTATTGCAGTTGTTGTATGTAGTTCAAATAAAAGTTTGTTTTTATAAGTTGCAAGTTTATGTTTCATGTGGCGCAAGCATTTGCCACTGCAGTTCTTACATTTTACTTAGCATAAATTTTTTATGTGGCATTCATATGGAGAAAGAAATCACTTCTTCTTTTTTTTGTTTTTTTGAATGCAATTTCATTGCCAAAGTTGCGCAAGCCAAAAGTATTCATTGATTTTTTAACCTCTTGGGCGGTCGTCTTTGCGAAATTTCACGCGCTATTAGGAACACAATAAACTATTAAAAATTTAATAAGATTTTCAATTGAATGATAAATTAGGAACGACAAAGGTTATGAATGAGTATAAAAGGAAAATGTTTTTAAAGTAAAAGTAGGTACATATGTATCTAGTGACATACATACTTATGTACACTAGAATAAAAGAAAACCGCCCATCTCGTATTTCCAAAATCCCCTGTGAAATTTTTTGCGGATTTATTTTAGTATTTATACGTCGCTAATTTCTATTTGCCATATACAAAACACAGACAAAAGTTTGTTTCATAACTCGTTTTTAAGTTAACATATAGGGGTTAGCGATATACATATTTGAAGGAAATTGTGGAAGGAATGAGGCGCCGCTACCAGGGTGTGAAAAACTTATTTATTTTTATCGGCAAAATGTGTGTGTGTGTTTATGTGAATAAAATGCGATATGAATTATCTATGTCAAACTTATTATATACTCAACTTTTTGTCGAGTGTGTGCGATTTAAAAAATTAAAGTTTGTCTTTATTTTGTATGTAGAACAATAGGGCTGCACTATAAAAGATTTAGATATTATTCTCTTTTTAGTAACCACCCTAATGTAATATCTATTGTAAGCTACTCTGCCAAATAAAGCTTTTTCGCGATTTCTAAGAAAACGGCTTTTATGTACTTATGTAAGTTATCTTGAGACCGCCAGTATTGAACTACATAACTACATATTTACCGTTTGCAGGGCAGAACTAAATAATAAACAACACGCTTTTTACAACTTTTTTGCTGCAAAGGTTGGTCGTTTTAACTTTTGAAATTAGTTAATTCATACATGCGAATTAAAAAAAAGAAGATATTAAAGCTTTTTTAAAAAAACCACAAATGATGTTGGACCCTTCGATAGGCAAAGGTCAAGAATTTTTTAGTATAGCAAATTGACATAAATACAATAGACGATGTGTAGTTGTCCACAGGTTAACATTTTGAAAAAGTTGGGCCAGTTTCTCAATCTCTGGTTAACACTAGCTGCAGGTTAAAAATCGTTATCGACGTGATTGACTCCTTTACATATAAAAAGGGGGCGATAACGATGTTTAACCTATAGTCAGTGTTAACCAGACTTTGACAAACTGGCCCTAAAAGGAGTTTTCAGTAAAAATCTCAAATAAAATTGGTACTCGAATCTTTGAACTAGGGCTTTCACACGCAACTTCTGTTTGTTTTGTGTGACGTGTACACAACTTTTTATATCAATTAAATTAAAATTTATCAACAACAGACTATCTGCGTCCATGGTTTTGTATGCAAACTTTTTGTTGATGCATAAAAAGCGCCACTAAGTCACTCGCAATTTACGCAGAAATAAAACTACTTTTGACAACAAAGCAAAATATTGGAACTGGCTACTCTTTTTGCCACATTTGCGCCCCTTTTCACGTTCAATTAGTAGCTGTCTGCGCGGAAATCACTTTCGCTGTCTGGCTAGCTGCCCATTTGTGCACAAACACATACACACGCTTACACATATGATCGATTTATTTGTACTTTTTTGCGTACATATTTGCTAAATGCCTTGGACTGCAAAAAATTTTGTTGAATATTTGCTTTTGGTTGTTCAATGGGACCAATCGCTTACAAATCTACAAACATATGCACGAGCATATTTGTACATACATACATATGTACATACGTAGGCGTAAAAAAATGCGCGAGTAGAAAGTGCACAATTTAGCAAAAGCGTATGAGTGAGGTGGCTAGTTGGTTTAGGTGCCTGTGTTGACTGCTTGTTTGACAGCGCCAATTCGTTGCCAGCTACCCAAAAAAAAAAAAAGTACAAACGCGAAAGTGTTTGCGCTTCCCATCGCTTGTTTGTCGACATTGTTGTACGGCAAATTTTGTTGTTTTAACCGGCTGATGCACCAACTGCACCGACTACCACGTGGCATTGCATTTTTTTCTGAGTGAAAAGAGAAGTGGCTTTTTTTCAAAGTTTATTTGACAATAAAAAATACATTTATGATTTCTGTTTTTTACTTTTTCAGGGTCTATGCGATTTTAGTCGCTTTTCGGGTTGTTATTTCCCTAGCTCATTGAAATGTCCACAGCTGCCCGCTGCCACTTTGTACGAAGGCCGTAAGTACTCATGTAAATAATTGCTTTGACGACCCTAACGATGTTCGAGATTCGAAGCTGGAGTGGGCCAAATCAATTTGGATTTTCGATGGAAGCAAAAAATAAAAAATAATAAAAAACTCCGAAATGAAAGTAAAACTGCTGTAGACATTTAAACCGTCAATACTTCACAAAGTTTGCCCAAAACAGAAACAAAATGTGTGCTTAAGTATGCAACAACAATCAACTGAAATGTGGCATTTGTTTGCGTAAAAATTAACAGCTAACCAAGCACTAAAATATGCTTTGTGAAAACACAATAACAAAGTCAAACGCTTGTTGTTAGGTTCCACTCCCCGTGCGGACAACGAAAACTCAAAAATGTATAAACCCATATTTGCCACTTTTACTTGCCATTTGGAATAAAAGCAAAAGCTCCGCTGTTATTCGCAGACAAAAGCGGAGATACGCACACGCTACACTGAAGCTCATGAAGCACATACTCGATTAAGCTGCAACTCTGATCCCACTTCATCTACAACGCCCCACAGCCATGCACTTCAGCACCTTCGCATCAGTCATTCTTATCGCCGCCAGCTTGGCCGCCTTAACAACTACCACCACTGCCGATTTGCAATCCGATCTACGTGATTTCCAAGCGCTGATACCACGTCGCCGCATCGGTTACATTGCCGCCCGTCATTACATTGTCGATGCGCGCTTCCGCAGCGCTTTGGCATTTATAAGCAGCCCAGAATTCCCACACACTTGGCAGCAGATACGAAACACTAGCGAATTTGCAGAGCTTGTCGGATTTTTGCAACGCCATGGTGGCAACGGCGTGGATGCTGAAGGTGGCTTCGATGTTACCACCATCATTGATCGCATACCGAATCAGCTGCGTGCCTTCAATATTCCTTCTAAGGTGCCGGTGAGCATGATGTTCCAGCGCACGGTCTCCGATTTTCTCAGCGATGTGGTGCGTGATTTGCCACGCGCACGTATCGCCAGCCTAATGACACGCAAGGTGCAGGAGGGTGGGGAATTTTCACAGCTCTATAAAGCTTTGAGGAGTACAGAATTCAAGGAGCTGCTGCAAAGTACGCGGGTGAGTAGGAATGCTGAAAATCTAAGTTGGAGTACAGACTCAGTCACAGGGCGCAGGTCCAATAGTAAATTAGAACCTAGAAGTTTTACCGTTAGCATTGCCGTAATCATTAATATTTCTGTTATCTACCATTATTATAGCCATTACCCTTACTAGTAATATTTCCATTACCATTGAAATTACCATTACCGCTACCATGACCATAGCCATTACCATTACCATTGATTTTACTTTTACCATTACTATTACTATTACCATTACAATTACTATTACCATTGCAATTACTATTACCATTACAATTACTATTATCACAACTACTACCACTACCATTGCCTTTACACTTACCACCACCATGAGCATTATCATTACCATTGCCATTATAATTACAATTACCTTTACCGTTACCATTAGCACAAACATTACCTTCACCACTAGCATTACTCTTACGATTGCGACTACCGCTACTATTGCAATTTTCATTACCATTACCATTAATATTACCTATTTTTATTAACAGAAAAAAAATTGTGTTCTTCTTTCCCACATACTAAATATATGTATGTATTTACAGAAATCATGTAACCTGGCGGCGCCAATTCAAAAGCTCAATCAAAACTTTGTTGACGTAGACAACCTTATTTCTATTGGATTCAATGTTCTCAGCTGGGGTCCATAGTCAAATTTAAAATACTCTGCTTAATACCGTAAATTTGAAGGAAATAAGACAAGATTAATTATTAAAATTTAATATTTAAGATTAACCCTTTTTATGGCTCTGGTGAAAAGATGCACGCAAATATAAAATTCAAAAAGATGTTGGATGATAAAATATTCATTACTTTGTGTTTTTAACACCTTAAATGGATATTTTTTTGTTTTCTATTTATTTCACACATTTTTGTTTGTTTTATTTTTCATACACATCAGTCGTCAAAGGATACCATCTTTTTTAGCTAATACAAAAAAGAGTAGCAAAAAAGCGAGATAAAAATCGTATGCTATCATAGCGTTTCACACCTCTTCCGGAAACCACAAGTTAAATACGGCTGAGTAGGGCGAATAACAAGAAAAGGAGATAACAAAAAAAAAATGGAAAATTACCTTAAGAGGTTTTTAATTTTGTCTACACGAAAGAATGGGTGCTCAGAGCAAAAAGAGGTAAACAAAGAGACCGCATGAGAATTTTGTGGCACATTTAAAATGCCTAAAAATATGCTAAAAGTGCTTTACTAAATTTTACATATTAGGGGTGAACTTTTCTAAACGAGAAGAATAAGTTAATCTAGAGATTATGCATATTCCCACCAACTAAATGCGCAAAAATTATTCAGAATGTGAGGAGATGCCTGTCCAACTTATTTTTTTGTGGGTAAAATTACACTTTTTTCCATATCTCCTATTCGAGTGGCTACTCTCAAAAGTATGCAGCATTTTATTTAATATTACCTACCTAGTAAACATTTGTTGTATGTATATGGGAATATCGCTGCAATAAATTTTAGCAAGAGTTGAAGATTTTCTTATTCCCCCAATCCACTTACACATTTTCTGGACGTCGCAACACGTTCATCGCAGGAAACGCGTTTATTGAGCGAAGCCGCCTAGCTCGATTGCCTTTGCGATGCTATGCGCTTCCGCCGCCAAGTAAAATTAGTGAAGTGTACATTTTTTTGTATTTTGCTTCGCACACAGAATTCCAACTTCCCCCAGCTGTATTCCTAAGAATCTCCCTACATTTTTACGGGTTAAAAAGCAAAGTATGCTTTTAGACATTACCACTTTCTCGCATAATATAAATTATATTATAAATTATGAAAGTGGTTCGCCGAAATTTACAAGATTTTTTGTATCTTCGTATTACTTCACACAATTTTTGGCACTTCATTTTATTTTCGTTTTTCACCTTCGTTGTCTTTTAAGATCTTGTTGAAACAGAAAGTATTTCCCGGTCAACAAATAAATTATTGATTTTTACGCCTGTAATAAAAATGTTGAACCCATTGGCTGTCCGCCATAGCTCAGTCTGCTTCTTTTTGGTTGCTTTAATGTTTTACCTGAATTGAATTACACCTGGCATGAATATGAAAATAATGGGCGTTTTGGTGGGCAGTTATACCTGTAAAGTTAACCCAAATAAATCGCATAAAAATGTATGTGTGTGTTAGTATGCAACATTAGGAAAATTAGATTTTCTGCTGCTAAAAGTTTTTTAAGCATAGATATTCATATAAATCTTGGTTTTTAGAAGTTTTGCCTATAAGAAACGCATAAATATGCTCGATTTAACTCTTATTTGCAATAAATAACTGCAGAAAGATTTAAGCCAACTCATTAGAGGTAGTAAAATAGCTGGGTTAGAGTGAGTGCTACCAAGCTTTTTCTCTTACTATAATAATTTTCCATTATAAATTAAACGATTTTCTACCAGAGACCAAAGCGAAACAGTTATTTACTTACTATAAGATAGGAGGCTCACAACTAATGTAAGTATGCATTCACAGGGACATGGATCCAGAGGGAAATGATGTGTATTAAAAAGGGATTATTATTAGTACTAACAAAGCTCAATTACATTGCTAAAAAGTAAATATTATTAAGTCACAATAATAATAACATAACGTAGTTCAGGATGAGCCTGCCTAAAGTATACAATAAATCTAAGTAATATATAGAATTATTATTATTAACCCCAATGGTTTCCCTCCACGCGCCCATCCGCACGGGGGGGCTTTTTTTTGCGCCAAGTCACGAAAGGCAGGTGTTTGATAAGTGTCGAGCTATTCAGCTTCATCGGCTGATTTTATGCCAATTAAAAGTAATTCAAAATTTATAATATGCGTATTTTAAAAGCTCACACTCCACTGTGTACGCAAAGCATTCGCAAGTGAATGAAAAGCTTTGACGGATCCCTGCAAAAATTTTAGGACCAGGTAGTTTACTGAGACGTAGTTTTAAAGTATGTGACAAAGGACCATTGCATACTTGTACCGTACTAAATGAGAGAGAAAACTCTGTAGAATATAAATTTTAATTAGAATAGGTATTTAAAATGCGCCTTTAATCAATTTTATCTTTTTAAGTAAAAAAAGTTTGCGGTACGAAATTCGATGATGAGGTTGTGCGTATATTAGTCCTCAAACGATAATTTAAAAAAAAAAAAAAATAGTTGCAAATTTTCAAGGTTATTTAAGGATAATAACTGTAAAGGACATTTTCCATACCCGTTCGTCCTTATACACCAAAAATTTTGTTCTGCTATAATTCCACAGAATTTTTTCTTTTATATGATACCCATATTGCTATTCTACAGTGCACTGAATTTTTTAAATAATTTTTTTAAATAATCATATATTTTAAATTTCAAAGTCCTTTTAAAAAAAATCCTGACATCAGATAGAAAAACTAAGTACGTGGTTTTACTATAATAAGCTTCACGAATATATACATTTTTTTGTGTGAAAAAATTAGAGTTAATTCAAAATTTATGTTTTAAGAGATTTTATCATAGAATTTATAAGCTTGATAAGGACGATGTATCCAGTCGAAAAGAAAAACTCCCCAAAAACGGCTAAGTTATGGATCCTTTCATCTGTTTATTTATTTCTACTTTACGACTTACGTATTCTATAAAATCCCATAGCTAGTATGCCTTTTGATTAAACATTTAGCTAGCAGTACACTGCAAAGTCAACATGCCAAGAGCGCTTCTGCGCACAACTTCCAAACAACAACTATTCCCAACCGAAGCCGTCGAGCCAAAACCAGTATTTTTCACACATGCTCCACCTCAGTACTCGTTACGTTTGGGCAAAACATTTTCTAAGCAAAATCAGTGTCTGGTGGGCCGCAGCATTCTACTAACTGATAACAGTTTGTAAGTCAATACTCCACGGCTGACTGTAAGGCGAAAAACTCCAACAATAAATGGAGAGAATTTACAAAATGCCTTTGGCGAAATATCCATATATGTATATCGGTAGTAATCAAAGTGACTATTTATGCATTTAAACCGAATTGCCACTTGATTTATCGCAAATTATCAGCGTAAATAAATCTAAGATGCCCACAGCAGCCAGCAACGCGTCGTTGGAGGATGTGGTGGATGCGGCTGCTTTTGCAGTCTGTGTAATGACTCCCTTTAGTGCATTCAAATGAATGATTGATGTCGCGACAGTGTACGATAAAATTCGCAAAAGGAAGTGGGTACGCAGCCACACACTCTGCAAACATAAACAGTTCATGGATTGGCTTTGAATGAGTTAAACAACAGCGCTAAACTCAAAAATGAGATTAATCGAACTTTATGGCAGAAATGTGGCTAATTCTAATATTACGAATATGGCTGCAAATGTTGGACAGAAAGAAAAACGACTGCTGGTTTACTCATTGCACATAAACCATTCGTATTCGATTCTTACTTGATTTATGTACAAATTCATGAAGAGAGAATCGCTTTGAGTGCAATATTGGAAAGCAGCCGTAAAGTAATAAAGTATGCTGGTCAACAAAGCTTAAATCATGGGTAACAGCGAGGGAAAAAATTTTATGCCGTATTGAAAATGAAGAAATCAGTATTGAAAAGCAACTGTTGAGTATGTTGACGATTGCCACTTAAAGTTGTCTAGACCAGAGTTCAACCGATATGAAAGGCAATGGTATTCAGAATGGAATAGGGAAAATCGTTTGAAAAGAAAACGGAATGGAGATAAAACGAAACTACTAGCATAAGCGGTATTCTCGGAGTCTTGCAAAGCTCTTGCACGGTGCACGGATTGCACGGTAAAAACCGGTTTTTCTATGGATCAGCTTTGTAAATCGTGCACCGTGAAAGGTCCTTGCAAAACTCCGAGAATACCCTTATTGTGCATACTATAGGTGCATCTACAAAATTTTAACAGTTCCGATATTCTATAAGTCGATATTCTAGTCCCCCTTTCAGGCTTTTATGTAAATCACATTCGCAACCAATTAAAGAAAAATTACAATTTTATCTCCGAAGCTCCCTTCAAAATGGAAATTCTTCTCTGAATACCCATTCGTACAAGTTCGTAGTCGTTATCAGTTATATACAATTCTTCGGATGCAATAATTGTTATCGGTGTGGTCATTAGCATTGTTATCATTATAGTTATAGCTACGTTTTTGTAGGCTTGGTAAACATACGTAGTTATCGATTTGTTTATCAAGTCAAAATGAATGCAACCTATGATCGTCAAGGATTTTAGCTCGAACGGAGCTGGAGCAATGTGCTAAAAAGTTAAATAAATAAATTGTCATTCATTCATTGTCATTGTTTACTTGGCAATACTGCATTACACAATGCGCAGCAGTCAGGGATAATTACCACGTCAATTTGAATGGCGATGAGAAAATAACAGGGCTGTTCAGGGTATTGTGAAAATCGTCTTGGATTTGCATTTGGTATTGCATTTGCAAATTTTATGCAAATTTATTGTTGTTTATGCAAATTTATTGTTGTGAATTTACAAAAGCACCGAAATATGCAAATGCAAGATCGTATGCACAAGATCCTGAAGAGCTCCAATGACTTCCCAGCCAGCAGAGAAACGCAAATTTTGCCAACAGTGCGGTCTCGTACAATGCTCCGTATCCAAAAACGTTCAAAGAAGTGAACAGAAAACGACTACAATTTTCATTCATTTTCGTATCCAGAAA